GTAGGCTCTTAAGATTGCAGGCTTCAGGGTTAGGCTTTAGGATTCTTTGCTTAGTATTTCAAGGGGGGTTAGAGCTTTGTTACAAGATTTAGTATTCCAAGGGAGAGGTGGGTCTTTGGCTAGCGACTGCGGTGATTAGAGCTTTAAAGAAGCTTTTGCGAAGTAGGGGCTTGGGGACTTTAGGATTTGCAGGGTTAGGGTTTTAGGGTTGAAGTTTAAGGGTTAAGGTTTAGTGGCTATAGCTTTCAGGATCTTGGTTTGAGTAGGGCTTAGGTTTTGAGAACAAGGCTTCAAGACCTTGGGTTTTGAGTGTGCTTCGGATCAAGTATAAATCTTCCAACGCCTTGCCCTTAACCCCCGCAGCTTAGGAAACGCAAGCTTGACACGTTCCATCTACACGCAATGATGCCAGAGCTTGTAATAGTATTGCAGTGCCACATGCCAGAGGCTCACATTGTTAGGAGTAGAGTTGAGGCTGTAGGCTTTTAAGATTGCAGGCTTCAGGGTTAGGCTTTAGGATTCTTTGCTTAGTATTTCAAGGGGGGTTAGGGCTTTGTTTCAAGATTTAGTATTCCAAAAGGGAGAGGTGGGTCTTTGGCTAGCGACTGCGGTGATTAGAGCTTTAAAGAAGCTTTTGCGAAGTAGGGGCTTGGGGACTTTAGGATTTGCAGGGTTAGGGTTTTAGGGTTGAAGTTTAAGGGTTAAGGTTTAGTGGCTATAGGTTTCAGGATCTTGGTTTGAGTAGGGCTTAGGTTTTGAGAACAAGGCTTCAAGACCTTGGGTTTGCGTTTGCTTCGGATCAAGTAAATCTTCCAACGCCTTGTCCTTAGGAAACGCAAGCCTGACATGTTCCATTTACACGCGATGTTGCCAGAGCTTGCAATAGTCTTGCATTGCCACATACCAGAGGCTCGCGTTCTTAGGAGTAGAGTTGCGGTTTTAGGCTTTTAAGATTGCAGGCTTCAGGTTAGGCTTTAGGATTCGTTGGATTTCACGACTTAGTATTTCAAGGGGGTTAGGGCTTTGTTCAAGATTTAGTATTTCAAGGGAGAGGTGGGTTTTGTGCTAGCAACTGCGGTGATTAGAGCTTTAAAGAAGCTTTGCGAAGTAGGGGCTTGGGGACTTTAGGACTTGCAGGGTTAGGGCTTTAGGGTTGAATTTAAGGGTTAAGGTTTTGTGGTTATAGGTTTCAGGATCTTGGTTTGAGTAGGGCTTAGGTTTTGAGAACAAGGCTTCAAGACCTTGGGTTTTGAGTGTGCTTCGGATCAAGTATAAATCTTCCAACGCCTTGCCCTTAACCCCCGCAGCTTAGAAAACGCAAGCTTGACACGTTCCATCTACACGCAATGATGCCAGAGCTTGTAATAGTATTGCAGTGCCACATGCCAGAGGCTCACATTCTTAGGAGTAGAGTTGAGGCTGTAGGCTTTTAAGATTGCAGGCTTCAGGGTTAGGCTTTAGGATTCTTTGCTTAGTATTTCAAGGGGGGTTAGGGCTTTGTTTCAAGATTTAGTATTCCAAAAGGGAGAGGTGGGTCTTTGGCTAGCGACTGCGGTGATTAAAGCTTGAAAGAAGCTTTGCGAAGTAGGGGCTTGGGGAATTTAGGATTTCGCCTTGTCCTTAACCCCCGCAGCTTGGAAAACGCAAGCTTGACATGTTCCATGTACACGCAATGATGCCAGAGCTTGTAATAGTATTGCAGTGCCACATGCCAGAGGCTCACATTCTTAGGAGTAGAGTTGAGGCTGTAGGCTCTTAAGATTGCAGGCTTCAGGGTTAGGCTTTAGGATTCTTTGCTTAGTATTTCAAGGGGGGTTAGAGCTTTGTTACAAGATTTAGTATTCCAAGGGAGAGGTGGGTCTTTGGCTAGCGACTGCGGTGATTAGAGCTTTAAAGAAGCTTTTGCGAAGTAGGGGCTTGGGGACTTTAGGATTTGCAGGGTTAGGGTTTTAGGGTTGAAGTTTAAGGGTTAAGGTTTAGTGGCTATAGCTTTCAGGATCTTGGTTTGAGTAGGGCTTAGGTTTTGAGAACAAGGCTTCAAGACCTTGGGTTTTGAGTGTGCTTCGGATCAAGTATAAATCTTCCAACGCCTTGTCCTGAACCCCCGCAGCTTAGGAAACGCAAGCCTGACATGTTCCATTTACACGCGATGATGCCAAAGCTTGTAATAGTCTTGCATTGCCACATACCAGAGGCTCGCAGTCTTAGGAGTAGAGTTGAGGTTTTAGGCTTTTAAGATTGTAGGCTTCAGGGTTAGGCTTTAGGATTCTTTGGATTTCACGACTTAGTATTTCAAGGCGGGCGGGGCTTTGTTTCAAGACTTAGTGTTTCAAGGTTTTGTTTTGGCAAGGTCCAGGCCCGTGCACGGGCTCACAGGCTCACGGGCCCACGGGCCCACGGGCCCACGGGCCCACGGGCCCACGGGCCCACGGGCCCGCCCGCCCAAAAGACCATGCCCAGGGTTTAGGGTTTGGGGTTTAGGGTTTAGGGGCTGTAGACGCCGTGTGAGATGCTTCCCGGGCCCACGAACCCGAAACGACGCCCCTCAACGTACCGAGCCATGGGCTGATGAAGAGTCGAACCCCCGCATCCTAAAACCCATATGCCCTGCGCATCACAAACCCTGGGCCCTTAAACCCCTAAATCCCCCAAAACCCAAACCGAACCCCTTAAACCCCCTAAACCCTAAACCCCAAACCACAAACCCTAAACCCTAAACACTAAACCCCAAACCCTAAACCCTAAACCCTAAACCCCAAACCCTAAACCCCTAAACGCCATCCTCCCGGGGCCAGGCAGCGGATGCGCGATAGGCGACAGGCTCGGCACAAGTAGTCGGCCCCACCTTTCGCTAGCTGCTTAGGGTTTAGGGTTTAGAGTTTAGGGTTTAGGGTTCAAGGCTTAGGGTTTAGAGTTTGGTTTGGGGTATAGGGTATAGGGTATAGGGTATAGGGTAGAGGGTATAGGGTATAGGGTAAACCCGAAACCCTGCAAAATCCCTCCACCCTGCGCCTTTACACCCTAAACCCTATACCCCCAAACCCTATACCTTTGGGTTTTTCAGGGCTTGTAGGGTTTGTAGGGATTGGCGTGAATTAGGGCTTTAGGGGTAGGGTTTTTTTTTTTGTCAGGGCCGTGCGCGCGATGCAGCTGCGCGCTTTGGCGCCCTCCCGGAACTGTCTGACTCCCGAATGACCCTAGCTATTTCGACATACTTGAAGTGTGGGCCTAGGGTGGGGGTACGGGCGGTGTGGTCAGGATCCCAATACTGCGGGTAAAATCTTTTAGTGAGGACTTCTAACCAGTATGGTATCTGCATTCCGCGACGTCTTCCTTGCGCTAGAATACGGTCCTTAAAGGCAGCTGTAAAAACCGCACTATGTGTTGGTTCCGCTCTGGGGGCCATAAATACTTGTTTAAGGGTTTTATGCTGGGCGTTGAGGATGTGTGTAGATGGTAGGGTTGGATATCCTGCTTTTCTCATAACTTCCGTGTTTGGGATGCGGGAGTAGTAGGATGCTTTGACGCGAACCACTCTTCTTAGGAACCGAATGAAGAAAGCATCCACCCTGTCTAGTTGTTTTTGCGTAAGAGTGAGGGTATCCAACGCGTAAATAAGTGTGGGCGTGAAGGTAGACTGGAAAATACGTAAACGTACCGCCTGGGAAAGGCTACTGTTCCATACTAGGCGGAGCTTCTTAAATGCTTCCTCGGCTATAGCTGCTCTATGTAAGAATGCGGCGTCAAAGGGTTTTTTCCATGTGATCCTGGTGCCTAAATACTTGATTTGCGGTGTGGTCGGGACGGCCGCGCCATCCGTAAAGTATAGCGAAGAGGAGGGGCGATCGGGATTGATTAGGAGCTCAGTCTTGGTTTTATTTAGGTGCATACCGTATTCATGTGCTACTGACTCTAATGATGTGAGAATGGCCTGCATCTGCGGTGTGGTCAAAGCTAACAACAATGTGTCATCCGCGTACTCTAAATCGAACGTTGGATAGCCTTCTGACCATGTGTTGGTGGGCGTGCCTTGGAGTAGTAAGTCGTTATCAACATCCGCAAGCATGACTGTGAGTACTATAATAAACAGATATGGGCTTAGGGGACATCCTTGCCTAATACCTGAGTGTACAGAGCCTGCTGCGGCGGTGTGGTCGGGTCCTCTGGTGTAAAAGGTTGGAGACTGATATATAGCCTGTATTGTCTTGAGCATAAGTTCTGAAACACCGAAACGGCGCAACGCTTCGAGCATGGCGGTGTGGTCGAGTGAGTCAAAGGCCTGTTTCCAGTCTAGGAATAATAGTTGTAATGGTTTGTTTGTCATTTCCGCCCACTCCATGGCGCGGCGTAAAACAAATATGGGCTGTTGTGTGCCTCTACCTTCTCGAAAACCGTACTGTCGACTGCGAAGGAAATGCTCACTTGATTTTGCGAGGCGGTGTTGTAGCATAGCAGCGTATATTTTGTAAATGGTGTTAAGTAAAGAAATGGGTCGATAGTTGGTGACGTCTGTGTCTAGGCCTTTACCCTTATATATTGACACTACTATTGCTTCGGCCCATGGTCCCGGGATGTCGCCTTCTGCCCAACATTTGTTGTAGATATTCAAGAGCGCTGCTTCTCCTTCCCTGTCTAGTAGCATAAACAGCTCGTTCCTCACCTGGTCCGGTCCCGGAGCCTTTCCGCCTTTACTTTTTTGAATGGCCCGTTGAAGGTCGTCCAAAGTGAACCGTCCTTCATCAGGGAGTTGTGGACGTAATCCCGGTCTAGCTTTACGTCTAGCGGCGGTGTGGTCAGGGATGTTGGGCGGAGCCCATTGCGAACCCTCGAGGTGATCCCTGAAAGCGGCGTGCGATTTTGACCATGGGACTGGCTTCCCGTTTACAATTAGATGCGATTTTTTCCCCACGAAACCTTTTTTCTGTCGGCGAACTGCATTCCAAAGCGGTGAGTGACTGGCATCCGGGTCTGCTAAAAGTTGGTCATGAACCCAGTCGATTCTATCCTTGCGCGCTGCCCTCTTGGCTTTGTTTCTTTGCGTTTTCCAATCTTCGCGACCTTCCGCTTGCGCTGCCCGTGCCTGGGCCAGGAGCTGTAGGGTGTGATCTTTGATCCATGGTGTGTGCGCGCGTCGTTCTTTGTAAGGAAAGTGATCCGCCGCAGCCTGCTTCATGGCGTGCACCATGGTGTCCGCTGACATGGTGGGGGTGTGGTCCTGGGGCGGAGTGTCCGGGGGAACCATGTTACTTCCGCCGTTGCGCCCCTGTGTACGCCCAGCGTTGGCGAGCGCATCCGCCCTTTCGTTACCTTCGGTGCCTGCGTGCGCCTTGACCCAATGAAACGAGACTGTCATTCCTGTTTGTGTTGAGAGTGTGTGTGCACGGCCAACTAGTGTTTTATGTGATTTTGCACGCCATCTGCCCGTGATGACGTTGATGGCCCACTGGCTGTCCGAGTATATATCTACTCTACCGCACCCTTGCTCCAAGGCGTATAATAGTGCCTCTATAATAGCTGTCAGCTCCCCAGTGTTGTTAGAACCTACCTGGGCCCCATAGTAAAATCTGGCGGTGTGGTCAGTTTCCACCCTGCCCCGCGCGGTGATCCACTCCCCGTGTTGCTTGGTACACCATCCCCAGCCCGCTGGTGTTGTTTTTGTGCATCGTCCACCTGTTCCCGAGCCGTCCGTATAGAAGCTCATTCTGGCGGTGTGGTCAGAGTCAGAAGACCCATCCTTACGGCTACTTTGCGGGGAGCCCCGAATTTGTGCGTTATAAGCCAGTCTTTGATCAATGCTTACTCTAGAGAAGTCAAATTCTGGGGGCTTTGGTGGTGGGGGGTCTCTACGTGCCAACTTAACCTGCACTTCCGTTACCAGGAGATAATGGTCCGACGGGTACCCTGTGTGCAATTTAGATCTACATGAGTTAACGGATGAAAGCCATTGTCTCCTAGTGAAGGTGTGGTCTAGCCGCTGAAAGCGAACGGGGTAGGGGTAGGGTTTAGGGTTTCGGGTTAAGGGATTTTGGGTTTAGGGTTTGGGCTTAAATGGCGTCTGGGGCTTTGGGGCTTAGGGTTTAGATCGTTGTTGTCGATTTGGGTTTAAACTGAAATTGGGGCCAATGAGGGTTTATCACGGTTTGGGGCTGGTTTGCGGGGCTTTAGGGTGTAGGGTTTAGGGTGGTTTGGTGATCTAGGGTTGAGGGTTACATTCTACTTCCAGGGACCCCGCAGTGTACCTTGGTGAAGCCATAACCAACAACCAACTGTGCGACCAGGCCACTGACCTGGCTTGAAGGTGAATCCAGTGATGCCGAGGTCCAGCAAGAGGTGCGTACTCGCCGGCTCCACAGCGACCTGTTTGTGGTTGCTTCTTCCTCCTCTTCGCACTGTGTTTAAAATATACTGCCGTTGTGAAATATGAACTTGCCGCTCTGATTGTTCTGAAGGCCTTAACGCAAGTGTATACATAACTACTTGACCCATTACAAGATTCGGGAGGGCAAGCTGTGTAAGACCACAATGATGATGATGATGGTGGTGATGATGATGCTGATGATGATGATGATGGTGATGATGATGAGATGACTAGCAGGTCATGAGCATTACGGTGATGATCGTGATGACGAACACCGACTCGGCCAAGTTGCTTCTGCCTTCTGCACGACGGCATACTTCGAAGACACGTGCGTGTAGATCTTCTGACCCAGATAGGCCAAGACCACCGCGGAGTCAAGGATGGCTGTGATGATGCTGACAGGCGTCCTGCGGGAGGGACTTCGGTGGGTGAGCTGGGCCTATTCCCATTGGCTCCGGCCAGCCCAAGGTAGGCATTTGCAAAAAACAACGTTAGAGTCACCTTAAACATCTCAGGACCCTTAGCCCTACAAGTAGGGGCCCGCTTACTTTCCCGCCTTTTGTTCAGGGAATTAGAACCTGAAACGTAGGACTTGCAACCCAATGAAGGGCCCTTATAACCCTATGTGTAGCTAGGGGGCCCCTACACGTAAACCTGGAGTTCAATAAGAGTTCAAGGGAAGTGCCCCGCACCTCATTAAACCCTAAACCCTAAACCCTAAACCCTAAACCCTAAACCCTAAACCCTAAACCCTAAACCCTAAACCTTGGGATGCCCCTGAACCCCATTTGTTCGGATGTTCCTTGGGTTGAAGGTTGAGGGTCTAGGGCTTTGAAAACCGTCAAAGCGTACACCCTAAACCCGCTTTGGGGTCTCCGAACTCAAGACCAAACAACCCCTCGCGCACCCACACACACACAAGTCAGGGTTTAGGGCTTCAGGGCACAGGGTGCTGTGGAGGTTAATTGGCTCAGGGGATGAGAACGGGCCCAGGACATTTGATGCAACGCGGGTCTTGTGGATGAAGGCAGCGACGACGGTGTGATAGATCGTGAACATGAGCCTCGGCACTCGAAAAGGGCTTAGGGTTTAGGGTGTCGAGTTTAGCGTAAACCGAAACCTTCTGAAAACATTCCTGGATACGATCGTCTTCAATCCGGATAAGGGCAAACAACGAACAAAGCAAACCAAAGGTCCTATTTCTTTCCAGGTTTTAGGTTCACCTTGCAGAATAATCGCCCGAACCAATGAAATTCAGAGTCGCAGGTCCTCAGACCAGTGCTCAGCACACCGATAACGTGGCTTAACAAAGAGCAGCCGAAGCTTGGGTGAAGTCCTCCTCCACATCGCATTGGTACCGAACACAAGAGTATCAGTACTTAAAGCGATCTGGGTCGGGGTCCGTGGAAGATTCAAGACAGTGTGGCTTTTGCGTAGGGCGTTTTTCAGGGGATGTTTAGGATGCAGGTTTAGGGCTTCGGGTTTTAGAGTTCTTGGGTTTAGGGCTCAGGATGTTTAGGGTTTGAAGTATAGGGTTTAGGCTTCGCATCAGGGTCTTGGGTTTAGGAGGTAGCATGATGGGGAGGCGGGTATACGATGCGGGGGATACCATAAAGGGGGGACTGCTGACACGGCGACAAAAAAAAACCTAAACCCTAAGCCCTAAACCCTAAAACCTAAACAACCCCAAACCCTAAACCCTAAACCCCCTGCCCCGTTGTAGGACCCCCAAGCCCCCCCCGTCATTTCGACAGCGAGGAGCCCGAGGAAACTGAAGAAGTGGAGGCACTTCCAGCGGTCGTATCCTGGGTAGGGTTTAGGATTTAGGGTTTAGGGTTTAGGGTTTAGGGTTGAGGGTTGAGGGTTGAGGGTTTACTTAATTGACCCCGCCGACTTATCGACTTATAAGTATGTGATATGTATCGATTAAGTATCGATTAAGGTGTTTATCTTGGAGTTAAGTTTGTTTTATATAATTAAGTTCCAGATAAGTTCGACATTTTTTTGCTTGACATATCTCGGACTTAGGAACTTATGCGTGTTATGTCAAAAAAACTTATATCGAACTTATCTCCACTTAGCTGTTTTACATTTTGGGATGTTTTTCACTGGTTCGCGCATGCATTTCAGCTAAAATTGAAGAAATCGGTCTTGCAGCCCCTGCAACAGATATTCTATAGTTGCCTGGCAGCGTTGAAGCCTCCCCGCCAGTGTCCGCGACAATTTAGGTCAAGCCCTGGCTCGCGGACGTCCACTTCCGCGGAAATGATGTCCGCCTGCATGGGCTCATATAAGCCCGGACCCCGCGCCACTACCATCGGGCGTCGTCTGCTGTCCGCGGGTGTCCGCGAGCCGGTCCGCAAAAAGTGCCAATGTCCGCGGAGTTGACCTGCTTTTTCCTTGTTTTCGCACGTTTTGCCTTGCCATGCTTGCAAGAAGCAAAAGGTCTCTCTGCATCTCTGGGCATAGTTTTCTGCCATGCCTTAAGCCGTGCGCCTTTTTTGTTTCGAAACAAAGGTGCTGTTCATGAAATGATAAAAAAGCAAGCCTTCGAACTTGTACGCAACTTGTCTCCTACTTAAAACGTACGTAAGATAAGTCCAGCATAAGTTCAAATTAAGTTCATATGTACCACGGCGCCAATATAGTAGGGTTTAGGGTTTAGGTTTTAGGGTTTAGGGTTTAGGGTTTAGGGTTTAGGGGGGGCAAGGGAGTTGAGGATCAAATCCCTGGACGCTAGAATGAAGAGCGAACTTCTGGGCTTCGGTGTGCCTGAGGAGATTGTACTTCAGGGTGAGAAGGTCGGGGGCCGTGGAGGTTTCGTGGATTACCCTAAGCCCCAAACAACCCTCCATATGCAGGAGCCCAAAACCCCAAACCCCCAGCCCTAACCGGAACAAGCAGCTACTCAAAAAACGCAGACTCGCTGATGTGAACTCGGCCCGAAAACCCTCAAACCCACGAAGACCCAGGAGAACGGTATATGAACAATAACGACAACCCAATGTCCCTGAGCCATCCAAAGGCAAAAATATCCGTAATCCTGAAGCCCCAAGCCCTCAATCACCCTAAACCCTAAAAACCCTAAACCCTAAACCCTAAACCCTAAACCCTAAAACCCTCAAGCCTGAAACATGAACCCTAAACCTAAAAACCCTAAAGCCTGAACCCGAAACCCTAAAAACTAAAACCTTAAAGCCGAAACCCCAAACCCTAAACCCTAAACCCCAAACCCTGAACCCTAAAACCACAAGCCCCTTAGCAGCCCAGTAACCATCTCATCGTAAGGGCACCCATTTTTTGGTTGGTTACTTTATGAGGGAACCCAGAACCAAAAAAAGGGGTACAGGGTACCACTGGGCTACCAAGCAAACCCTAAACCCTAAACCCTGAACCCTAAACCCTAAACCCTGAACCCTAAACCCTAAACCCTAAACCCTAAACCCTAAACCCTAACCCTAAACCCTAAAGGGCAAACCCTCAACCCCAAACCCGAAACCCCAAGATCTCTGGCGTTCCAGGAGGCGCACGAAAAAGGCCGGCACTACGCCCAGGATCATGAGGATGAGCCCTACGAGTCCGAACCTCGGATTTTTATTGGGGGTGTAGGGTTTAGGGTTTAGGGTTTAGGGTTTAGGGTTTAGGGTTTAGGGTTTAGGGTTTAGGGTTTTGGGCGTGGGCTATAACAGAAACAGCAAAAGGGGACCATCTCTTGGACAACTGGCGGGCTTTTGGCTGAGCCATATCTTATGGCCTTCGGACTGCGCACCCCTAAACCCCATGCAACCCTAAACACCAAGGCCCAAGACTTCCAGGGGCCGAAAAAGTTAGGTTCCGAAACAGCCCTTAAGGACACAATAATCAGGTCAAAGGAAGTATAGGGGCAGCCAAGCCCCAAACCCTACAAGGAGGGGGCCCCCTTACTATACGAACTATAGTTCAGGGACTTATAGCCTAATTTAGGATCCTGATAACCAAATTTAGGGTCCTTAGAACTCTACTCATAACTAGGGAGGCCCCTCCTTCTAGCGAAGCCCAAGGATCACTGCCAAAAGCCGGTGGAAGACTGCGTGAGGGCCGAGGCGATGGAAGACCAGCACCTGCGTTGAGCATTCAAAAGGCGTTTAGGGTGTAGTCCCCAAACCCACAACCTACAAACCCCAAAGTCCAAATTACCCGGAACCCTGAACCCTGAACCCTCAACCCTAAACCCTAAACCTTAAACCTTAAACCCTAACCCCTAAACCTTAAACCCTAAACCCTAAACCCTTAACACTGCTTTGTCCCAGGTCTGGGGCTTGGGGGGTTCGGAGGGCGTGGGCCCGACATCCTGAACCCTTTGGAAGGGTTTGGGTTCAAAGCTTGAGCTCCTGGGGTTGAGGGGGTTCTGGTTTCGGGGTTTAAGGGTTTAGGGTTTAGGGGGCTTAGGGCTTCGGGGTTTAAGGGTTTAGGGTTACAGTTTAGGGTTTAGGGTTTTTGGGTGGGCTTAGGGATCAGGGTGTAGGGAACCGGCTTTGGGGTTGAAGAGCTTGGGGATAGGGTTTCGGGGTTTAAGGATGCAGGGTGCTTCAGGCTTCGGCAAATTGACCTGTAAGGTTTAGGGAATTATGGGTTTAGGGTTTTCAAGTTAGGAAGGAACCAACCTGAGGTGAAAGTGAAGGAGAAGGAAGGCTTTTCCAAGAAAGAAAGGCAAGAACCAAAAGCACAGAGGCCCCCAGCGCCAAAAGAGCAGCCACGAACCAACCATGGCTGAGGGCAGCACTGTGGCACAGAGGAACCAATCAGCACAAGATAAGAGTCCCATGGCTACTTTTCCTAACATTTGAACCCCTAATGTTGATTATTCATGACGGATACGTCCTGGGCATTCTGGTCCTGGAAGACTACGTTTTGCATGGAATGATGACACCGGCATTTGCAGAAGTGTGGAATGTCATAGCAGCCCTGCTGCACACACAGTCCTCATCCATGCCCGGCCAGAGGGCGTTGGGAGGGTGAAGTGTTTGTCAGCCGCTTTCTGCTTCTGAAGTCATCGAGGCAGGAGCAGTCTTAGGCTCGGTGGGCAGCTCGGCTGCCTCAAACGACTTTGATGACTTGATTTTTTGAAGGCTACTGTAGAGACCGGATCGGCATCGTAGCTTTTCACCCAGGAAGCATCTGCCTGCAATCGTAGGCAATGAGGTGCAAAAAGCTAGGTCCATGTCAGGAACCAGAGATACACGCGACAGCAAACTGCCAACAAGAATCCACACGCGCCACCGTGCCAGCCCTGGGAAGATCAACCACCATGTCGCACAGATAACGGTTTGCCAAATCTTGGCACTCTGAAATCCGGCCACAAGAGGATGCTCAGAACACACAGAAGGCACACGCAAGGCCAGAAGAACGGAAAAGGGATGGCGGTCAGGCCGCCAGCAACAGAAGATGCAGCAGGCACGACTGGCCAAAGGGAATGCGTACGCAAGAAGGCCGTCCGCTGAACGGCCTGCGTTCCTCAACACATAATAAACCCGTACGCAGACCTTACTGCCGCCTACCTGAACTCAACCTTTGCAACCTAGACCTTGCCAACCCACGCAGAAGCCCAAGACACGGCTGCAGTTTAGGGTTTCGGGTTTCGGCTTTAGGGTTTGAGGTGCAGGGTTTTGTTCAAGTTGGGTGCCACCATTCCGTACTCGGGCACGCCATGGAAGCTGGCGATGACAATCGTCAAGATGCCGAAGACCTGGTCTGCTAAACCCTAAACCCTAAACCCTAAACCCTAAACCCTACACCCTACGCCCTAAATCCTACAGAAGCTTATACTTGCTGGGGTTATCTGCAATTGCAATACTATGTACTTGCCGAGGTTCTCTGCAATACTATACTAGAGAAGCCCAAGTAGGAAAGGAAAGGAAACCAAAAAACACAAACAACAATTGAACATTCCATGTGGCGGTGAAGCTTGCTGGGTTGAGGTAGCGGGTCCCGAGCCCTAAACCCTAAACCCTAAACCCTAAACCCTAAACCCTAAACCCTAAACCCTAAACTCATGACCCTTAAAGCCTTCAACCCTCAAGCCTCAACCCTCAACCGACTTGAGGGCCTAGGGTTTCAGTGATTGGGGCTCTTCAAGTCCAGGGAGCTGGTGAGGATGACAGGTTCGTATCATGGTACTTAGGGTTTAGGGTTTAGGGCTTATAGGGTTTAGGGCTTATAGGGTTTAGGGTTTAGGGTTTAGGGTTTAGGGTTTAGGGTTTAGAGTTTAGGGTCTAGGGGTTTTAGGGTTTAAAGGGTTTAAAGGGTTTATGGGGTTTATGGGGTTTATAGGGTTTATAGGGCTTATAGGGTTCAAAGGGGTTATAGGGTTTATAGGGTTTATAGGGACACCATGTTCCGGGGGAGGGGGGAGGTTAAGGCTTGCACTACAAGGAGGGGACCCCTGTTATAAGCAGAGTTCTAAGGACCCTAAATTAGGCTATAAGGATCCTAAATTAGGTTCTAAGTCCCTTAACTATAATTAGTACAGTAAGGGGGCCCCTCCTTGTATTGGGTGTCCTTGGATCCAAGCGCCCCTTTGGGTGTTGGAACCTGCAGCCCCGAAGTCCCCGAAGCCCCTGAAAGCCCGAACCCAGGTCATGTCATGGGCTTTGGGGGGGTTTAGGGTTTCGGGTTTAGGGTTTAGGGTTTCGGGTTTAGGGTTTAGGGTTTAGGGCTTAGAAGGGTTTCGAAGATCGCCAGAACACGCAAGACCAGCAGACCGCAGGAAGCCGAAAAGCAATCATAACAAGGGCTTCAGGGTCTCTGTTCCAAATTTTCGCCCTGAACCCTAAACCCTAAACCCTAAACCCTAAACCCAAAACCCTAAACCCTTGCACCAAGTGGCATAGTGAATCCTCCATGCCGCCTCCCTGGACATTCGCAGTATGTCGTGCAAGCCGAACTTGTAAAATGAGAACCTGCGTCGGGTTTTAGGGTCTAGGGTTTAGGGTTTTTGGGTTTAGGGTCTAGGGTCTATAGGGTCCGCCGACCCTGGTGGCGTGTTGGCTCCCTCCTCCTTACCCCCCCAAAACGCGGGGGCGGGTAGGGGGGGGTCCCCGGGCAGCTTTTCCATGGAGGGCCAGGCCACCCATACGGCATAAACTCACGGACCATAGGCGGTTTCGCACAGGACATAGGGGCCCTTTGGGCAAAACCAGCCCCCCAACCCCCCCCACCCTGCCCCCCTCACCCCCCTCCCCTCCCCTCCCCCCCCCACCCCCCCCCCCCTACCCCCCTACTCCCCCCCCCCACCAACTTTGGCATTCTTTGACCTAACGAACGCGTTTAAACCTTTCAACTATGCTCCAGCGGGGTCGGCGGCTTGAGCCGGAGGCTCTTAAATTTAGGGTTTTCAGGGTTTGGGAGCCCATGGGGATGCCTGGATCCTACTTCTTTGCCTGGCTCCTAAAACCTGAACCCTGTGCCATATGCCTGAACCCTCAACACGACGAAGAAATTCGGCAAAAAGGGCATATTTAGGGTTTAGGGTTCAGGGTTTGGGGATGTACTTCTTGTGTTCCAAAGGTACATACATACGCAGAGTGTGGAGCTGCCAATGAATTGAAACGAAGTTTTCACAAGCCCTCAGTGTGTGGTTCAGGGTTTCGGGTTTAGATTGTTTAGAGTCAAATCCCTAAACCCTAAACCCTAAACCCTAAACCCTAAACCCTAAACCCTAAACCCTAAACCCTAAACCCTAAACCCTAAACCCTAAACCCCAAACCCTAAACCCAAGTCATCCAGGGCACAGCAGCGTTACCCACATCGCCATACCGGTGGCATTGCCAGTGCTGTTCAAGCGGAAGACACTATCCGGGGAGGCAGCAACGCACAACACGATAATCGCCTGAGTGGCAGGTTTTGGGGGTCCGGGCTTCGGTTTGTTCGGGACTCTGCCCCCTATCCCAGGCATGGGCCCTCATATCTAGCCCTAAGCCCTAAGCCCTAAGCCCTAAGCACTAAACCCTAAACCCGAAACCCGAAACCCTAAACCCTAAGGCCCTAAACCCTTACCCTAAATCCTAAATCCTAAACCTAAACCCCAAACCCCAAACCCTAAACCCTAAGCCCTAAGCCCTAAGCCCTAAGCCCTAAGCCCTAAACCCTAAGCCCTAAGCCCTAAACCCTAAACCCTAGCCCTGAAGCTCATCCTAAACCCTGAACCCGAACCCCCCCCAAACCCCCCCCAAACCCAGTAGAAGCCCCGAAAGAGTTAGCATCATAGGTTCCCCTACTACCCTCTATGCTAACCCCCCTCCCCCCTAGCTTCCCCAGGGGGGGTAGTAGCCCTAGACCCTTAACCCTTAACCCTAAAAATAGTATAGAGAGGGGTTAGGGTTTAGGGTTTAGGGTTTAGGGTTTAGGGTTTAGGGTTTAGGGTTTAGGGTTTAGGGTTTAGGGTTTAGGGTTTAGGGTTTCCTATGAAAGCAGCCCAGGGGGCCCCTGCGGCGGCCGCGGTGATGTTCGCAACAGACCAGCTCTGGAATCGGGGCATAAACCACGCTTTCCTTTCCCAGACCGTGGGGTTTAGGGTTTAGGGTTTGGGGTTTAGGGTTTAGGGTTTAGGGTTTGGGGTTTAGGGTTTAGGGTTTAGGGTTCAGGGCTTAGGGGGCTCGCTCGACCACGGAATGACTGAGTAGAGGAAAGGGTCCATTTGGCAGTTTCGCAAAATGGGGTGTTAGGGTTTAGGGTTTAGGGTTCAGGGTTCAGGGTTTTGGGTTTTGGCTTCAGGCTCAAGCCTGAACCATCCAGCAAGCAGGGCTCAGGCTTGAGGGGCCTTTGGGCTTCAGCATCTCCCCGAGCTCGTAGGTTATAGGGCGCGCGCTTTGTGAGGGGTTTAGGGTCTAGGGTTTAGGGTTTAGGGTTTAGGGTTTGCGTGTTTAGGGTTTAGGGTTTGGGGTTTAGGGTTTAGGGTTTAGGCTTACAGAGGCCGGTGGCCTCTTTATCTGTTACCCTTGTACCTTAGTATATCGCCCCCAGGCGTCGACGGCGTCTTCGCGAGGAGGGCGCCGAGCAGAGCCATGAGGATGAGGAGTGTGAAGCCGGTGAAGATGGCTACCTCTTTGAGTTTAGGGTTTAGGGTTTAGGGTTTAGGGTTTAGGGTTTAGGGTTTAGGGTTTAGGGTTTAGGGTTCAGGGTTTAGGGTGAAGCCGGTGAAGATGGTTACCTCGTGAGGGTGTCGGGTGTGAAACATGAGGGTTTTTAGGGTTGGGGATTTAGGGATCTAGGAATTTCGAGATTTAGGGTTGGTTTGGGGGCTTAGGGTTTAGGGGCTTAGGGCTCTTTATAAACACTTACTTAGCAGGGTTTAGTTGGGGTTTAGTTGTTAGCTAGGGAGGCGGTTCACTAAAAGAAGGTGGGTGAAGTTGCCTGTGCGAAGTGGTAGCGGGACAGCTTGGGTTCTAAGTTGGTCGTTACAGGACCTCTTCGGATGGGCCCTTAATTGGGGACCCCTACCCTTCATATACCCTATAAAACCCAGAAACCACAATGCTTCAGAACCCTTCCAAGAAGGTAAGGGACCGTATTAAGGGACCCTGAAGCCATATTAAGGGAGCCTAAACCCTAAACCCTCTGAACCCTAAATCCTAAACCCTAAACCCTATAAACCCTAGGCCCTACACCCTAAACCCTAAACCCTCTGAAGAAGGTAAGGGACTATGTAACTCCCCTAAGATAGGTAGGGTTGGTTGTGTCGTTGGGGCCGCACACTTCGCCCTTCGGGGCTAGAGCATGCTGACGTTGCGCATATTTTATTCGATAGGGTTTAGGGGCGAGGGTTAAGGGTGAAGGGTTTATTCGGGGGTGGGTAAGTCGGATCGTTGCAGGGCTTGTGTGGGGTGGGCAACGAGCTACAGCTTGCAACAGCTCTCCTCGTCAGGCCTACAAACTCTTCGCATATGGCATAGAGCGAGAGGTTTCGACTCAGGGGAAAGGAAACCTAAACCCTAAACCCGAAAACCGAAACCCTAAACCCTAAACCTTACTAGGGTTGTTTGCCCAGGGCGCGTCCATGATGCGCTTGGTCTCCATGGCTAACACGGACCTTGTGGACCCCAAAAGTCCTAATGCTCCCCTCACTCCCGACAGCCGGACCAGCTTGAGCCGTGTCAAAGCGACCAGCATTGCCTATCTTGCAATATTGCATATACGCACCTTGTATAGGCTTTAGATGCCTAAACAGCCTTCAAATAGCACCTTTACAGCCCCTAATTCGGGCCTCTTCTGACTTATAAGGGTCCCTCGAACCGAAGAAGTAAGTCAGACAAGCCCTGAAAGCCAGGATCACCCCAACACTCTGCAGGGCATCTCAGATGCTTCAAGGTGCATCTGGCCCTTATAAAGAAACATCAGGGGGAGTGTTGGGTGTAGGCTTTAGGGATCATATCGGGTAGGGAGGTTTGGGGGGCGGGGGGGGTACATCCCACGATTCAGCAAGTGGAATGTTGTGGCAGGGTGCTGGTCGCCAAGTGAGGCTTCCGGGCCCAGGGCACAAGCGGGCTTTCCCTCAACCCTAAACCCTACACCCTAAAACCCTAAAACCCCAAAACACCAAAACCCCAAAACCCTAAAACCCTTAAACCCTAAAACCCTAAAACCCCAAACCCTAGGTACAGGGGGCCAGGGTCGGGATCTGCTGGGAACTTCGTGAACTTTCCGAGGCACCAAATCCCCTTAATTGAGGAATATCCCTTAATCTATAATGCCTAAACCCTAAACCCTAAACCCTAAACCCTAAACCCTAAATCCTAAACCCTAAACCCTAAACCCTAAACCGCAAACCCTACTGTGCTTTGAGGTATACTCCTTACTTGAGGGGTTTTGGAGTCTCTGGGTTCCTGAGGCACCCTGCCCTGGCTGGCACAAAGCGAGGCCAAGCGCTGCCTCTGGTCAGTTTAGGGTTTAGGGTTTAGGGTTCAGGGTTTAGGGTTTAGGGTTCAGGGTTGAGGGGTGTAGGGCTTTCTGAGTTCGGGGGTACAGAAATTACGCACCTTGCCTCCACACCGGCATGACCTGACGATCCCAAGCCTACAGACTAAACTTCCCCCTACACCCCAAACCCCAAACTCCAAACCCCAAACCCCGAACCCCCCGAACGCCGAAGCCATCAACCTTACACCCATGCCCTCAGAGCCTTCACGCCTGTCATGTGCCTGACACAAAGAATTTAGGGTCTAGGGTTTAGGGTTCATTGCAAGCCGACTTAATGATCGAGGCTTTAGGTTTTAGATGGGCTTCCAGGGGCCTGAGAATCCCCAAAAACAGCCCAATCAAGGGCCTGTTTTTTGGCGCGGTGCATGTAGCGGCCCCCTAGTTATAAATAGGGTGATGTGGGCCCTTCGTTGGGTTAGAAGTCCTACTTTTTAGATTTTTTGCATTGCCTAACGTTAGCATAGCAAGGGAGCCCCTTCTTGTGGGGGATATTAGCCGCTCCCTGGTCTAGGGTTTAGGGTTTAGGGTTTAGGGTTTAGGGCTAGGTTTTAGGGTTTAGGGTTTAGGGTTTAGGGTTTAGGGTTTAGGGTTTAGGGGTTAGGGTTTGAAGGTTCCTCATTCCTCCCTTCCACGATGCACACAGCAACTTGAAGTCCCTTCCGGGCGGGCTTCTCGGATGTGGGGCTTGGGCTTTCTGCATCACTGGGTCTAGGCTGTTGGTGTTTAGGGTTTGTGGCTTGGGGTTTAGGCTGGTTCGCGGCTTCCCTAGACATCCACACCCGCCCAGGGGGGGGGGGGCCTCCGCCGATCCACAGCGCTCCGGCCGCGAACGCGCGGGGCCTGCGTCTGCGTGGCAGGCCGTTAGGACTCATACCTCTCGGCTTGATGACACTTTAGGACTCATATCCTAAACCCTAAACCCTAAACCCCAAAGCGCCGAACCCCCTAAACCCGAAAGCTTGAACCCTGGCCCCCTCTTGAGGTCAGTCCCCCCTCTTGAGGTCAGGGTTTAGGGTTTCGGGCTTAGGGAAGTCTAGGGTTTAGGGTTTAGGGTTTAGGGTTTAGGGTTTAGGGTGCGGAGGGCTCGACGCCCCAGTCTTCCAGGGCTTCGGGAAGTTTAGCGGAAGTTTTAGGCGTCATTTCCGTAGATGGAAAGGTGCAGCAAGGAACCACAGAGACACACTATACTGCCCTTAGAACCATAACAAATATGTTTCATATACCCTTGGGTTTATATGAATAAAGGACATAAAGGACTATAGCACGAGGGAGGGTACCCAGTGATAACGGGAACCTAGCACCTGAACAAGGGAAGAAGCAAACAACTGCGCATCCTGAAGCCCAGATTTGAACTGAACTGCGGCTAGCCCAACGAAAACGCAAAAGGGATTTAGGGTTTCAGGGTTAGATACAAGCCCGGTCTTGTTACATAGTGGGGTGGGGCTAATTAAGGGTGCCAGCCAGTAAAGGAGCCTGGCAAGAAAGGTTGCCACTATAGAGCCACGGAATCATGTGGGGCTGCACGAAAACGAGGGACCCCTAACATAGACCCCCCAAATAGTAGGATTCCCTTACCCTAGCCCCCCAAGAACCCATATATAAGGAACCAGGTTGGTTACCAGTGAGGCCGGTAACCAGCGTTAACCACCCAAATTCCAGGAACCAGTTCCTGGAACCGTTTTTCTTGCTAAAAACGCGTGAGCCCAGTCATAGCGCCGATTCAAAGGCAGCGATGGCTAAACCAATCACGCAAAAGAAGACGCAAGGGCCCTTGTTGCTGTGGTGCGCGAGAGCAACAAAGTCAAATAGAACGCAAAAATGTACGGATCCGCTATATAGGTCTAAAAACACCCGAACACACAAGCACTTTGTAACACCATGAAAACAGTATCTTTAAGCCTCTCAAACTGGTATAAAACCTGCGTAATCAATGCCTTTACCAATGAGAGAAAAAATCGTTTAACCCCTCTGACGTACAATGCTACTTCCAGAGAAATGATATTCGCAAAGCCACCATGCACATCTTTGGGAAACCTGCTAAAGCCCTCACAGCGGTAGGATACCAGTTATACAAGCTTGATTATAAGCCTTTGTAACCTCATCGGCCTTTTAATTTGTTTAAGCGCTGCGAAACCTGAAAACTTCGTTGGAAAAAGCGATCACCCATATGTTCACAGCGATTGGTAACTTTGAGACGTATTGTAGTATAGTAGAAGTCCGCACCTAATCTTGAAAAGCTTCAGGAACGACATGTAAAGACATAAAAGGCTGACGATACCCTTTTCCAACGTCGATGTCTTGAAGCACCGCAACCCAACCCATCACTGGAGTCACAGAAACGAGACAAGAGGTAGGATCTCTATGTGACTCCATGGCCCACAACCGTCAAGTCACCAAAGGTCCACAAGCAAAAAAGGGAGGTACAGGATCCTGGACCTAGACGATGACCTTGGTTCGAGGGAGTGGGGTGGGGTGTGGGGGCCCGTCCATGTTTGTTGTTAGTATATAGATCCGTTGGTAAGTTCTAGAGATGTGGCTACAGGGTTGCATATCGACATTACGCACCCTTTGAGGATCATGCGCAGACAGAGAAGGGTTGGAGATGTCGTGCCTTGCGCTGATGCCAACGCAGGCGTTGGTTTTGATAGTCGTCACGAGCAGATATGGCACACCCCAGCCAAGTTTGTGGCACGTGTAGGCAAAATCTTGCCGAAACCAACGACACCGGAACCGTAAAAAAAAGACCCGGAACCGTAAAAAACAGGCCCGGAACCCTAAAAAACAGGCCGGAACCGTAAAAAACAGACCCGGAACCGTAACTCCTGAATCCTTATATCCAGGCGCCTTGTTTGCGCACCCCCCCCCCTCCCTCGGTGGTCCTGGATTGCGGGATTCAATTACCCCCCCCCCTCCCATCCCCAGATCTGTTGTTGGTTTTACGGTGTGGGCATTGGGCTGGAGGGTTGGCGTGGGTGGCCCATCTCGCTCTCTGGTGGACGTGGTCGCGTCAGGCATCAAATTGAAATTGAGAGCTTTGAGGTGCTTCTAGTTCCCTGGTCCGGTGAGGTTGTGGTCTGTATGGAGGTTCCTCAGGAATTCTGCCGTTTTTTCAGTTGCAAAGGAGCGCTATCAGGGTTTGGAGCTGTTGCAATAGTTTCAAAACGGGTTTTTAGAAGAAACGCTTTGCAATACTGCCTTTCTACAACTGTAACAGGGGTATCTTTCCTGCAGCGAAACGAGAAGGTTTAAGCAACAATTCTGCTGTGCATTTTCTTGTATAGGGATATATGCAGAAGGGCTGTGGAAGCAGTTAGCAAAGAATAGGTTTGATACAGGCTTTCTAGATGCTTGTCAGATTTTTATAGGAGTTTTATGATGTCTGGAAATGGTTCTATACTGTAGGCTGTATGGCTTTGTGGGAGTTATGGATGTGAGGTTGTAAGAGGGATACAAAGCTCCTAAGGCTATGGCAAGTTTCGTGAGGGTTTCGTCTGGGCCTCCATTACTTGTACGGTACTTGTCTTGTATTGCACATCTATCTACTTGGGGTGGGGGTGAACGGCCACGCCTATGTGCGGGACGGGGGTGGTTTTGGTGCACCAAAGCAGAGCAAAGCCCTACAAACCCGACCGCCCAAAGCCAATGGCACGACAACACCAGCAGATGCCCCGGAGTCCAGGGGCTGTGCACGCAAAATCCATAGATGTTTACGTGTTTTCACAGCTGTACAACCTTCACCATCATTTTTGAGCCACCGAATTGCATAGTTGGGCATCTTATGGTTCCGATGCCCCCCTTGGTTCCGGAACTGGGGCTGTTTTGGGGCCGGATGTCCTGGCTCCGGGCCCTGAGGCCAGTTACCTCTGACACAGGGCACCAGGAGGGCTTGGGTTACAATAAGGACCCCAAGACGGTACCCGTAATTTCGGAAAACCCCATGTAAGACCCCGGCGGCAGCTTCCAAGGGAGGAGCTTCTTGCACAGATGCTTTTCCTCGCCCAGAAGGTCAGCAAGCTGACTCGTGCAACTTTTCCGGACGGGCTTTGGGATGGGTTTAGTTTAGCGGTTTAGGGTTCCGGGCTCCGAAGCCTCAGCCCTCAGCCCTAAACCCTGAACCCGAAACCCTAAACCCTCAACCCTCAACCCCAAACCCTAAACGCTAAACCCTAAACTCCAAGCTTCACGTATCTAAACGAGCAGGCGGCTGGTAGCCGAGGCTCTGAGCTCGAAGTAGTCCGCGGACGGGCAGACCTGGCGGTCGATCCGCAGTGTGTTGCGGTTTAGGGTTTAGGGTTTAGGGTTTAGGGTTTAGGGTTTAGGGTTTAGGGTTTAGGGTTTAGGGTTTAGGGTTTAGGGTTTAGGGTTTAGGGTTTAGGGTTTCGGGTCCGCCGACCCTGGCGGCGTGTTGGATGGGAATTGGAGGTGAAAACCAGGGGGGGGGGTAGGGGGGGGTACCCGGGCGGCTTTTCCATGGAGGGCCAGCCACCCACACCGCATAAACTCACGGACCATAGGCGGTTTCGCACAGGGCATAGGGGCCCTTTGGCAAAAAAACCCACCCAGTCCCCCCCCCCCGTGAGATGAAACCTGAGCGTTACCAGCCTCCGGCTCGGTACAGCTGGCAAGGCACGCAGGTGTCTCTTTTAGCTCTGCTGGCTAAGTGTATCACTCTGATCCAGAACCTCGGGCACAGGCCACTGCATGCCATGATGACTGAACCCTGTGGCATACCTGTCTCTATTTCAGTCAGGCACAAATTTAAAAATTCAGCTCATTTGGCATGTCGTATGACGATAGTGGCGGCCACGAGGTCTCGTTCCAAAAACGAAACATAGCGAGAGTGCGCAGCAGTAAGTTTCTATACAAATCAGCAACTATTCACAAGAGCAGTCAACGATAAGGGTGTGCTTCACAACAGCAAAAACAAAAAAAGGCCTGAGCTCGTCTCCGTTCTTTTATCGGTGAAGGACTTGTTGTCACACCTTCTCAACTGGAGTTGAGTTCGCGCTTGACACACTCATCCTAAACAGAAGAACAGCTACCTTCCCTGTGAGGAAGCATGCTTTTGTGGCTCCCACGCATTTTGTACATGCGCTACCGCGAAGCCTGTTGCATCACAAGACACAACTCACAGGACGAGCTGGATTACAGCAGCACCAATGAGGATGTAATCGTAGGAGGCGTTGAAGTAGAACTTCACCTTCTACCCCACGAAGACGAACCCCATGAGGAGGAACTCCATCCTTGGTTCCATGAAGGATCCCACGACCAATTGGACCAGTATGGGCCTTGAGAGGATCCCTTGCCTCTTGGCGAGCCTTCCCCTTTTCTGGCCTTACCAGCCCCTTTTCCTTTTGGAGGCGCCCAAAGTTCTTCATGTCTCCTTCTACCACTGGCTTCGTACTCGTAGACTTCAGGGTTGTCGTCGAAAGAGACTTCTCTCCTCGCAGCAGCTGGCTTCGCCGCTGGCTTAGCCTTTGGAGGAGCTGCTGGCTCTGGCACTGCTGAAGGTTCCTCACTTGGAAGCGAGCCTCCTTCCTTGCTCTTGCTTTTGCCTTTGCCAGGTGGAGCACGACCTTCGCCTTGTACTGGTTCGGCAGGAGCACCACGCTTTTTAGCCTTCTGTCTCTCTTTCCTGGATTGGGACGCCTGCAAGATCGACTCCTTCGACCTGTACGTCTTCTTCTCAGAGAACTTCATCCAGTTAGGAGCGATGTGTAGAAGCAGTGGTGTGTGACTGTCATTGTCCGAGGGCTTCAGGAGGAAGTGGTTCTTCGTCGAGTGCAGCAAGAATTCACTCACCGAAACCTTGTACTCCATGCTGCCCTTGTACTCAGCCCACACCTCATTGGTCATGCTATGACCCCATTCGAAGACGATGGCAGTCATGCAGTCCAAATCAGGAAACGTCGTCCAATCCACTAGGTGGCCCACATCGCCGTAGGGGAACCCAAGCTTCTCCTCGTAGAGTTTGAGAAGATGTAGAGGGTTCGAAGTCACGACGCGTGTCCTTGGGATCAACAACCTGTCCTGACGTTGGTGCTTCTCGAAGGCGTCGACGAAGTACTGGATCGTCGAGAAAAGGGCTGAGCTGTCGTGTGACACTGACCCCTGTTGGCTACCTCCGAATCGGTAGCATGACATGTTGCCATCTCCGCCCATCAGATCCACTTGGTAGTGGAAGCAGTCAGCGACCATCGCAGCTAGTCCCTCGGCCAAGAAGCCGGGCTTAGAGCGTGCGATTTCACTTCGAACGTGGAAGTTGCAGACACGAATTGACTTCATGCCTGCACGCGTGAGATCTTCCTTGAACTCGGCCTCCTCGAAGGCGGACTCCACTCGATCAACCAGGTCTTCTTGTTCCATTCTATCTCGAGGAACGGTACTTCCAAAGTTGATCTGGACGATCTCATATCTGATGGGAATCCAGGCATACGCAGGGTCTTTGAGGACCGGACCAGCAAGGTGTTTGAAGCTGACCTTGTTCTTGCCCTTGGTGTTTCCTCTGACAGCAGTGAGGAGATCTCCTGCCTCATTTGTTCGGAACAACCAGCCCTTGGACCTGAAGTACTCCAACTCTTCTCTCGTCATGTTGTTCTCCTGCAGCAGAATAACATGTGCCTTGGAGTGAGAGAGAAACTTCACAATGATGGAGCTTCCATCGGAGTAATCCGAGATGAGGTCGGCATACTTTGGAGGAAGTGTGCCCTTTCTGCCCCTTGCCAAGTTCCCCAAGTTGGCAACCAGCACGCTAAGACCTACTCTGGAGGTGGCCAAATGCGTCATCTCTGCCATTGGATCGGGTTCCTCAGCAAAGGCTGAGCTTCCCAAGCTCGTGGTTTCGAGACTTCCACAGGCCAGAAAGTGCCGAAGAAGAGTGTTCAGAAGATCACCTCTCGTAGCATTGGTTTTTGCCAGTGACTCCATCAACAGCGCCTCCTTCTCCGCAATGGCAACATGGGCATTGTATGATCTCTCAAGTGCATCAGTCGAAAAAGTGCTCCTCACATCAATGCTCTTGAAAGCCACTTGTTTTGCTGCAGGACGAAACTCCCACAACGGTGGCATCGTCGCCATTGTCTCGAAGAAGGGCATTTCTGGAACCTGGAACTTCCAATTTGGCCGAGCAGGAGCCGCTCTATCCCTCCAGCTCATATGCTGGAGTCGAAATCGGTTCTGAGCCGACTGCGCCCGAAGACCACCATGGAGAATGCCATCACTTTCTCCATACTTCTGCCGACTGAGGATGTAGATGGGCGAACCCTTTTCAACCCTCTCCAGCTCATCAATGAAGCGCTGGTACTCGGGCAACTGCTCCAGGGTCGCCTCTTCCTTTTTGTCGGCGAAGGATCGAAGAGCATCCTCATTCTGCTGAGTGATCTCTCGGAGATCCTGCGGAGTAATAACATTCTGTACATTACCCCACAGGCCTTGGGGCCTTCCCGAGGGTGCCTCACTTGGAAGTGAGCTTCCCTCTGTTTCCCCAGTGGTGACCATTGGCGTAGAGGACTCCTCCTCCACCTTGAAGTCACCTTCCTCGACCTTCAACTGGACTTCGGGATCTGGCTCCTTGACCTCTTCGGTCGCATCGGGCATTGGCTCTTCTTTGATGTGCGCTTCGGAAGATGGTGGTGGTCCCTCTGCTGTAGCAGAGCCCGCTTCCTCTTCCATTGTTGCATCCAGAGAGGAAGGCGCCACCTTGGGTTCCTCAACTCGTGTTGAGCTTCCCCAGGATTCATCGACCTCGATGACCTCCTCGATTTTGATGGTTCCTTCATTGTTCTCGAAGGTTCTCTCAAGCTCAAAATCTTCCACAGGAATGCCAAGGTAGGAGTCGACGAATGCCTCCTCGGACTGGCGAATCTGCACATACTGCTGCAAGTCCTGAACGGCCTTGGAAGCGAAGCGAGAGAGGAACTTCCGCTCTGGGTACGAAGCGACGGTTCGTTCGATTTTCTTCAGGATGAGTTTGGGCTCAAACGGGAGCCTCAATGAGCAATCTCTATGCTCACTATTGTCCTGTGCGCGCACAACAAACTTGTTCCGAAGTGCTTGGTTGTCACGATTCTCCTTCATGTACAAGAAGAAATCACTGCCATAGAGTTCCACGAACATGTCGTAGAGGTTGACGAAATCGCTCTGAATGTTGATGAGCTCCTGAGCCACCATCAGCTCGTGCCGAAATGCCTGGTACTCTGCGAGCTTCTCAGCGTAGTTCTCTGTGCCTTCAACTGGCATTCGATTTCGCTCATCTGTGACCTCAGGCTTTGCTCTCCCGTAAAGAATTCCAGGGGTGAAGACTGACTCGGCCTTAGATCTGAGCTCGGTGAAGTAGTCCGCGTCCCAATGTGGAGTATGATGGTCATAGTGAGAGACCTTCAACTGAAAGTCAATGAGCACATTGGCGGCTATCTTCCCCAGTCTGAATGCCTCCAGAAAGAAGAGAACCGGGTATCCACTCAGAGGATTGTGCAACCAAAGAGCCTGATTAAGCTGAAGCTTCTTTCTCACACTGACATGAACATCTCGGAATCGAACAACCTGTACATAGCCAGTGCCGTAGGAGTCAACCTTGCGCTCATTGTCCTCCATCAAGGCAATGGTGCCTTTGTAGAACAGCGTCCAAGGATTGGCCCTAAGCTGTCGGATCAGGTCCTCTTGGGCCCTGACTTTTTCTGCTTCAGCTGTCAAAGAAGTTTTTACACTCCCTTCTTCCATGCCACGCTCAAAAGGAATTCTTTTCCCTTCTGAGCTTGTTTCTGACTGCTGAACATGCCTCTTCTCCTCCCCTTCAATGATCTCTCGAAGGGAAGTGAGATCAAAGTGGGGCACTTCCCCAACCGTGGTTGGACCTGTGCTAGGAGGTCCAGCTTCCTTCGTTGTTGTTCCAGAACCCTTGGATCCCTCTGCTGAGGCAGAGCTCCCTTTGGTCCCGGCTGAGCTGGACGCAGGGCCACGAGAGCTTGAACTGGGAGCTGAGGGTTCCTCAGCTTGTGCTGAGCGTCCCTCGCGTTTTTCCCACTTGCGTCCACCTGGGTCCTTCTCGTGAGGGGGCCTCCAGGTGAAATGCAGGTAGCTCGGTGGCACACTCTGGAAGCTCAGGATCACACCGTTATCGGACAGGTAGAACTTGCACCCGTCTGAAATGGCCTGGTAGAGGTCCAACACGACATAGATTACATTCGAGCCGTAGCGGATGACAGTGCCAGCCCTTGGGGCCTCATCCCCACCAGCGTAGGTGAAGTGCACAGCGCACCGCGGATCCCTCTTTCCACCTGGCCTTCCAGCGTCCGTGATTAACCCCTGCTTGAGGATGTTGTCATGGTTCCACTTCTCTGTGGCGTGGAAAACATATCCCAGGCGACCTGCCATTCCCAGGGTGATTTCCATACCCAGCGCCTCCTCAGTTTGGACTGAGCTTACGCGAGTATGACCCTGAATTGCTCCAAGGCGTATGTTCATAGCGAAGTCTTGCACTCCTACCTCGCCTGTGGGCGAGCATGGAGCTGGACGGACGTAGGTGAAAAACCTTCCCTTGGAGTTGGTGAGCATGAAGGCGGCAAACCAAACTGCGTTTGTCTGCCTGGGAATCACTCTCCGTGTGTTACAGGATCCAATAGGGAGAGAGTTCATCTCGTCCAAATCGTTCCTGTGCACGGCCTCGTGGCGGAACACAGCAGAGAATGCCTTGGAGGTGCTGACCGTGCTGCTATAAGGAGTGTTCTGTTCTCTCGTTACCTGCTGGGTGGTGAGAGTGAACTTGTACAGCTCCTCAACCGAGAGGCACCCCAAAAGGGTCGTCACGAAGTAGAAGTCCCAGCGCTGAGAACTGCTGAGGATCGTTCTGCCTGTCCTGTCCTCGTACAGGATGACGTGCCAGAGCAAGGCTAACTGGCCCTCTATGGTAGGCAGATCTCTGTCAGCAATCCTCAAGGTGTATGGGTAGACGTCCCTAGGCATATTCCTCGTGCCATCTGCACTTGGAAGGTACACTCTGCCCGTGCCGCTGTAGAGGCTTGACGCGGTCCCTTCTCTCGAGAGAAGCATCCGCCTTGAGCTCCAATGCACGGAGTTGATCCAGTGGCTGTAATCGGGCTCGCCCTCGGGTGTGAATTGCGGCTTGAAGCCGACACTTGGCTCCCACGCGGCATGAGTGAGCGCTGCGGCTGCCATGGTTCCGTAGCAGGGAAGAGGTAGGCAGCTAAAGCGTGGGAAGCACCGACGGGCTTCGGAGATTGCAGGCACAAATTTTAAAAAGAGACCTAAACTCTACTGCAGCGACAAACAAGGACATGTGACTGTTTCAGTGCACATGACAGTACATGACTGCAAAAAGCGCTCTCACTCCCTCGTCTCTCTCTCAGTCTTTCTTTTCACAAGAACTGATCATGAAACACACCTTGCTGCAAAACTGAAAACCCGACAGCTCCTTCCGGAGCCAGGCGCTCAGAAAAGCTTTGTGTTCCAAAAGAGACCTAAAGGGAGGGTGAGCATCTATCTCCTTCAGCCAGCCCTTTTGAACTGACTGAACCAAATTGGTGGATTTGGCAGACCGTTTCGTCAAGCAATCCGCCAGACAGTGTTCTGTGCGCACATGTGAGAGGTCCGCAATGGCCCCAGAGCAAGCTTCCTTTCGAAGCATCTGTATCATGTGTATGGTTTCTTGTTGCTCAGGGGCATGAGTGGTTGAAGCAGTTGTAACCAAATTGTTTGCATCAGTTCGCATATGGATCTCGGCATCTAGACCACTGATGTCCTTCCACAAACCCCTCAGCATCTGACAGGTGCCGAAACACTTCATCAAGGCATACAGCTCAGCAACTGTCGTGCTCAAGGTAGTCCTCTTGATCTTAGTGGATTCGAAGAAAATCAGGGAGCCTCTGGTGTCCCTACGATTCTTTACCCTTTGATCGGCGATAAACACTGTCATCGCTCTCTGTGAGGACTTGTCACTGTTGTTTCTGAAAGCAGCATCTGGAATGCCGAGGATGCGAGGTGTGCCTTGGACTGCCAAATCCTAAGCTCCACCTCTTCACTCCTGATTTGTCGACAGAGCTTGTTCAGCTCCTTACAGTGACCAACCGTAGGTGCAGCTGAGGCCGATGCGAGACGTGAGAATGAGTAACAAGCCTGAAACTGAGTCCTGGACTGCAACCAGTTGATACTACCTAGCAAAGACCTGTAGGAGGTGTGAAGTTGTTTGTCACACACATCAGTGTCCTTCAAGTGTTTGGGGATGACGATCTCTTCGAGCTCTGAGACGCTCAACTTCTGATCAATTGAGATGTACTTCTTACTGCCCTTGTCGTCAACAACCCATCGAACCCTCTGACCAGTGAACATAAGATCATTTTTGTCTTCATGTCCAATGGTGAAATGTTCCTTGACCCTAGCCAAGAACCACTTCAGGAAACTTGGGGTTCCAGCGATGATCAGGTCATCAACATGAAGGCTGAGGACTCCTACCGACTTCCTGTGCTTACTAGGGCTACCATGAACAGGATCAACAAAGTGTTCTAAGAGCTGATCTACAAGTTCAGGGGTAAGCTGAGGAAGCTGTTCTGTGGCCTTGTAGGCTGCCCTTTCAGGAAGGAACAGTGTCACGAGCACTTCAGCCTCCTCCTCGAGATAGCTCGGCTCGTTCTTGTTCCTAAGGTCCTGAGCCTTTTCAATCACCCACCAGGTTCCTTGGCGCAAGATGATAGATACCCGGTAGGGATAATCCTTAATCTTATAGGTCGGTTCAGGACCTCTCAAAGCCTTCGCCCTGTGGGACACAAGGGCCTGGCCGTTCTCGAAAGGGAACCAGCCTCTCTTCTTGTGGGCAACGCCACCAAGAAAGTCAAGCAAGGTTTTATCAGTGACTGGCCTCCAGTCATACTCAACCAGGTGCTTGGTCTTAAAGGCTTGCGCAATGTCGGGGTATGCTAAATAGGACCTTTCTACCGCGGTGTCGGGAGAAGACGGCGGTTCTTCACAAGCAGATAACAACGCAGCTAGTGGAGACTCTGTGATGATGCCCGGTAAGTCTCCTATTGGCGGTTCCTCTCCTAAAGGAGAGCATCCTTCTTGGAATAGACTTACCTCTTCTGCGATCTTTGCTGCCGATTTCTGCTTTTCGACTCCTTCGTATCCTACATAGGTGCATCGGTCTGCCCTTGTGGGCTGCAGGCCGATGGTCCGCAGGAACTTGTCGAGTCGATTCCACCATCGACGCGGCGCGTCGTTGAGGCCATACACCGGCCGCAAACAGAGACCGACCATCCAAGGCGGCAAACCAATGTCGGGAGGCAGCTGAACAATCACGCTGCGATGCTGCAAGTTATAGTGTTCCCCCTGAAGAAACGCAGTCTTAAGGTCCAAATGAAACAAATCCCAGAAATTATTGGCAGCGCACTGACAGACCAAACGAAAACCGTATCGCGTAGCAGTTGGACTATCCGTCTGCTGATCCCAGGCATTCTTGTCCTGAAAACCACGACAGACCCAACGAGCCTTAAACTTAGAAAAGAACCCATTTTTGTCGACTTTCACAGTAAGAACCCAACGACCTGTGAGAAAATTCACATCCTTGGCTAACTTCCTGCGATCGACAAATCGAAGGGCATCATTATCCAAGTAGCTCTTGAACTCGTCCAATTTCGTGGCTCGGATTTCCTTGGCGTACTTACGCTGCATGTCCTGTGTGATCGTACCAGCCTTAATTTTATCCTGCTTAGTAAGCCACGACGCAAACGCATCACCATCAAAAACAGCCCACTGCGGCGGACTCAAATCGTGAGGAAGGACCAGAAGAACATCTTCCTCCCCCTCGACCAAGGAAGCAAGAGACGACTCACCGTAATCTCGCGTCGCCTGGCTATCGTCTGAGTCTGAGTCCGGCACTGGCGCGTCCGTAGCCGGAGGCGCGACGGGAGTTTGCTGAATCGGAAACTCTCCTTCCGCCACGGGAAGTCCCGGCGGTCCGCTAGGCTGTGAAGAAGACGCGGTCGGATCTGTCTCATCCTCGTCTGGAAACGGAGCGGAAACCTGCGGATCTCCCTTTTTCTCCGGCAACGGCTGACCCGGAAGAGGCACAGCGGCCTCCGGAATCTTGTTTGGGTAAACAGGGAAACGCAGTTTTGGTGCCGCACTTGCGGGAATCGGATGCGCCGGTTCCTCGGTGCGTAACTTAGGCTTACTTGGCTCATCAGGATGTTTGCCGCGTGCACGCGTAATCGGCACGTTACGCGGCGAAGCCGGTTGAACAACAGGAGGAGCTGGGAAATTCGGATGCTTAGGAATTGGAGCTCTAAACACTGGCCCCGGTTTGGAAGGCGGGAGAAGCGGCTGATCCGGATGTGAGTAGATTTTTGCGCCTGGCGCGTCAGGCGGAGGACCTGGAGGCGGCGGCTCCATATGAACTTCCATAGGAGTTCCGCCATCCTCAAAGAAGAGCCAGCCGTTGCAACCAGCACTTTCGCCAAAACCAATCGGCACTTTGTAGCAAAACTATGAATGAATGAATGTGGCTCAAAATGGCTCGACAAAAGACTTCAACAAAAACTTTGTGCGAAAAAAATCAATTGTTGAGCGATAAAAAGAGGTTTTTTTCACGATAACATGGCAGGGGGGCAGGGGTTTTAGGTAGGGTTTAGGACTGGTTTAGGATTCAGGGTTTAGGCTTTAGGATTGACAACGAACCGTGGCTTTTTTGTGCCGTGCAGGGTGCAGGGTTCTAGGGCTCTAAAAACCCTGAACTTTAAACCCCGTGGAAACCCTAAAAACCCCTGAACCCTGAACCCGAAACCCTGAACCCTAAACCCTAAAACCTAATACCCTGACCCCTAAATCCCTCCAGGGCTTCGGAATCCCTAAATCTTAAAGACAAGGGGGGAGGGGGGGGGGGGGGGGGGGGCAGGACGGCCAACAAATTGCTTAATCCCTACCCTGAGCCCTAAATCCTGAACCCTAAACCCCGAACCCTCGACCCTATGGTCGGTTTTAACGTTTAGGGTTTGGGGTTTGGGGTTTAGGGTTCAAGGCTTAGGGCTGTCTACTTGTATCCATAGGAACCCTAAAGCCTAAACCCCAAACCCTGAACCCTAAAAGCTGTCAGAGAACGAACCGACGGGGGGGCTACCACATCCTTGCTGCCTACCTTCCGGAGGACTGCCTGTCACTGTGTGCAAGCCCTGAAAAAGGGTAGGAGCGCTGCAGAAGCGTAAGGTTTAGACTTTCGGGCCCGTGCCCCCTTTCCCACCCAAGCGCTGCAAAAGCGATGCCCAGCACTGCAAAGTGACTGTGACCCGAAACTGTTAGTCGGTCTGGACCGTCTCGAGCCTACATGCCCTTGGTGCCCCTGGAGCAGAGGCGGCCGTTTGCATCCCTCCCCGAAACCCGGCCTTGGACCGTCTTGAGCCTACATCCCGGACACGGCGATCCCGCAGAGCCGGAGCCTTCTGCAGCGCAAGCCCTGAGAAAGGGAGATCCTGAAAGTCCTCAAGCCCCCTGTCAGGACTCCAGGATCAGATTCAGCTTTAAGCATCGGCGTGAATCAACAGAACATACAAGCAGAAAGTGAATAATACATGGCTATTATTGAATTCAATAATAGTTAATTACTAATTATCTACTATATATAAATATGTATATCTTATATATATATAGTAGTATATATTATGTTATATGATATTCTATTATAAATATATATATATATATATATATTCTATATATATATATATATATGCAATATAGCATCTTATGTATTATGGATATTTCGGCAGCTATTGTCATGTATAAAAACATATTATAGTATTGTATTGTACCGACGGTGTATTTATTCTCATTCTTATATTCTTACTCTGATTATTATTCATACTCTTTTTCTGATTATTATTCATATTATTTTTCAGTATATTAATATAGCTATAAATAAATGAACAATAAATGAAATATGATACACATATATATAATATGATATTGCAATATAATATTTTTGATTACACCCAAAAGGAGCACCGTCGTGTCGTTTCCGATAGGAGCACTGCAGGAAGTGATGCCCTCAATCACCATGAAGTCAAAAGGCACTGAAGAAGTGAGCCCCGGGAGCACTGCACAAAGTGAGGCCACAAACACTCAAGCACAAATGCCAACGAGCAAAAGCTTCACACGTGCAGGAGAAAGAGACGTTATATGCGACCAAGCTCACAATTTCTTGGAGACTCGGTGGCAAGAAGTGAGCAGCATGGCCTTGGACGTTGCATGGTTCGTAAACAGACGCATTGCCTAGCACTGGCACACTGAATCTTCTGCCGACTCCAGCCCAAGGCAGTTCATGCCAAGGAACCTGTACGATTCAGATTCGAACACACTAGTAGGCTAACCAGGAACGGGGAAGTAGCACGACGTCAAGACCCACTGTCGACAGCCGGCCATTTGAGTGAGCCATGGCTGTGGCCGGAGGTGGGGGAGCATTAGCTCCAGGCGGAGGGCCGGGAGACTGGAGTGGCGGTCGCAGAGGTTGGGGGTGGGGAGGAGGCAGGCCTCCTGGGTTTGGGCCGTGGTCCAGGGGAATGTTCAGCTGGCATGTTTCTGAGTGCGGTGTAATGTCATCAATAATTTTAATGCAACTGTTTGTTTGGCAGGCATCATCCCTTTACCTTCTCGAAAAGGCCGGAATGGGATGAGCACGAGTCTGAGGCCGGAGCCTGACCTGATTAACCCGCCAGCAATAAGCACCCGCTGTGTTTGGGAGATCCGCTACACCATGGCTTTGGAAAAAGAAGTGGAAAATCTCCAGGCGAGCCCAAGCCTCAGACTCAGTTTCATGAACACACCACTCAGTCATCTCTGTGGCAGGGACAAAAGCAGATGATCGAAGAGCAACTCGCAGAGACCCGGCGACAGCTGGGAGAGAGCCAGCAGCAGCAGCGGGACACAGAGCAACGGCAGCAGCATCTACTGGGAGAGGTAGCGCAGCTCCAGATGCACCTCGCCCAGCAGCAGCAGCAACTAGCACAGCAGCATCAGCAGCTGCAAGATATGAACGAGAAGCAGCAACAAAAGCTGCAACAGCAGCAACAAGAGCATCACCAGCAAATGCTACTGCTGCGTCAACAGCATCAAGGACAGGTGCAACAGGGGGAGCAGCAGCAGCAGGAGCGGCTTCAGCAACAGGTGCAACACCAGCAGCAGCGGCTGCGAGAGATTGAACATATGGCGCGAACAACAGTTGCAGAGTTGCGAGGCGGGGGGTGGGGCGAGGGGGCAGTGGCGTTCAGATCACCGAATGCAGTCTGCCTTCTGTGACTTTCCGCCCTGTCGATAGGACCTGACACGACATATTATCCCTGCCAGGCCGACTGGAAAGCTTGTCCAAAGAAAAGCCTAAAGGAGGGGCTTGTGCTTCACGCAGGTAACGATTTAAAGATGTAATCTGTTTGACTCGGCTACTTCTGTCACCTCAGCCAGGCAAAGGAAAAGACCAAGGGAAAGGCAGGGGAAATGTTGCTGGCTGATAGGAATGACAGTGATCGTACATCCTTTGCCAGGAAGGGAGCAGACTGGCGAGGCCCTGTACCACCGTGAGGCAGTCGATGCATTGTGCAGTTGGTTGTCTGTTTTGCAGAGTAACATGGAGAATCTGCCACATGATCGAAGCCGGTGGTTCGCCTCGGACAGCCTCAGTGCCGACTTATGTGTCTGTGGCCCACAAGACGACGAAACTTCAGACTCAGCTGTCCTGAAAGTTTCTTGCCTGTCGCGCAGGAAGAGGAGCCAAGCAAAGGGATGATGAGGGGCAAAGGCAAGGAAAAAGACAAAAAAGGAGAGAAAGGCTGGGCTGCAACCGACGCCAATGGCAAGGAGAAAGACGAAAAAGTAGAGAACAACGCCAAGGGCAAGGAGACAGGCCAAAAAGGAGCTGCAGTCAACGCAGGAAAAGAAGGAACGGCAGGAGCCAAGGGCAAGGGGAATGGAGGACAAGCAGAGGACAACAGACAAAAGGCTGGACCTGGAATGTCGTGCACCATCTTTTCTTCAGATGACTGCTTTTCAGGGAAACGACTGCGCCCCTGAGAAGGCCCGATCGGCAGCCGGCCGCTCGGAGCATCTCCTCATTTTGAGAAACGATGGCAAGCCAGAACTCAGGCTCCCGTCATCCCCGAAGCCTCAGAGGCATCCTCATGCTGACTCCTTTGCTTGAACATTTGTTCGCTCTCAGTACCTTTGGAGGACACCGGACCTGGAGCAAAGACCCCAGCAGCAGATGTCTGGGCCTCTGGACATTTAACACTTATTAGTTTTCAAACATTGCTTTTCAAGTATATTTAGGCCGCCGGCGGACCTCCAGCAAAGACCTCAGCATGCATGCTTTTCGAACTTGACCTGACACACAGAGGACCGTTTCACGATCCAAGGTCAGCCCAGACCTGGACTTCCCCGCGGCGGCTGCCGGATCCTTTTTTTTTCACCACACAGAAACCACCTTACATTTCTGCAAGATTTTCTAGGCTCCGCTGCCCATGGCGGACGCGAAAAGCCCTGCCATGCCCACAGCCACATGGGGCTCGGGTGCATGCTCCTGTCACTGTCTGTTTGGGTCATTTCACATCCTTGCTCATGGAAGGCTGCAAATACCCCCGGCTCTTCGTCGGATTCGGCTCGAACCTTTTTTTTTTCCTGTGGGTTCACGCCCGATTCCTTAAGTGGACTCCGAGGTACGATATCTCCTGCCACGCCCGTCTGGCCCAGCACCGCCGCCGCCTGGAAGTTTGCGGTCAGTCTGGAGCTTAGATCGCATCAAGAATAAGCGCGCGACCACACGGATCCGGTATCGGAGGCCACCGAACAGAAGGACCCGTGTGGTGGCTCCGAAGACGAGTGGATCTACATCGAGGCCAACTCTGGCGTTCGAAAGAATGGGCCAGCCAGGACCTTGAATGTGTGCCTCAGGCTGCTGCTTTCAATTTGAGCTATGACCGGCCTCAGACCATGGCAAAGGTCCGCGAGATGGTGCCACCCAAGCCGAAAGTCCTGGACCCAATTTGCTTTGGAAACTCGACTGCACGCACACAGACTCACTCCTTCCAAGGACTCCAAGGTCGGCACGAAGGATTCCCAGCCACCTGCCTTTTACTCAGACTCGGAGGTTTTTTGGCAGCCACCATGTGATCATGCTGCCGGCTTCTCGGCAGGCAGCCGAGTCAACGCGACGAGACAAGAAGAAGGCTGGCCATGAATTGATTTGGGCTCAGTGTGCGGTGTGTCTCCCCGCCGTCCAGGCACCCGAGGTGACAGCACGGCATCGTCGTCGCGAGGTGGGAACAGGAAGTGCATGACGGGCGACTGACTTACATTTTGGCCAGGAGAGCCCGCCACTTCGGAAGCGCCGCAGAAAGAAATTCGATTAAGCGAAGGACTTCAGAACCTTGGACAACAGCTGCAGCTCCAGTGAGGTGTCAGATTGAGTTGCTTTGAGCAGGACGATCCAGATTGACCGGGACTGTTTGCCTTTGGCGAGAAGACAAAATTGCCTCATCCGCCCTGTTGCCTTCTGCATAAAGTCTGCCCGGGATCCCCGCTCTTCAGACACTGTGCCAGCCCAGGAGAAGACATCGATGCCTCCTGGTGCGTGCCTCGCAGCCTCACAGCCTGACAGGATTCGGAATTTCAGTGAAGGGTCCTCCCCCGCCCCACCGAGCAATTAGACCAAGCCCCTGAAAAACTTACTTACTAGAAGTAAAAGCACTGCAGGAGTGTGCCCAAATGACTACTGCAGAAATCCCCAAGCCAAATGTGAGCCCCGGGAGCACTGCACAAGTGAGTCCCCAAACTCTGAATCTGAAACATAAATAAGAGCTTCGCATTCGCAGGAGAGATGTTATCTGCGACCTCCGAGATTCCTTGGAGCCTCGGCGGCGACTAGCGAGCAGCGTATGTGGCTTTGGACATTGCCCGCTTTGCACGCGAAGGCGCATTGCCTGGCACTGGCACAGTGCATGTTCTGCCGACCTCAAGGAATCCGTGCAGCACTGAAGGAAGTGCAAGACACTACAACATGTGACTAACAACAGCCTAGTTGCAGCACTGCGAAGTGTCAAAACACGGTGACAGTGACAGCTAAGACAGTCTGCCAGTAGCGGGAGCAGGAGCTCCAGGAGGAGGAGGGGGAGGTGGCGGAGGGCCAGGAGACTGGGGCGGAGGTTGGGGCGGAGGTTGGGGCGGAGGTTGGGGCGGGGGAGGTCGGGGCGGGGGAGGTCGCCCGATAGGGTGGGGGGCGTATTCCAGTGGTAAGTGTGGCTGGCGTGTTTCTGAATCTGCATTCATCTGCTGCTGTGTCTGAATCAATGCAAATAATTTCAATCGATGTCTGACAGCGCCAGATACTCCCTGGCGTACACCAAGCGCCTCCAGTCCTGCCGGGACTCCCGCGAAAGAGAGGCCGGAAAACCCTAAACCCTAAACCCCTAGACCCTAGACCCTAGACCCTAAACCTGCCTCGGAAAGTGATCAACCCAGGTGAGATACATTGTTGGGATGGAACTT